CTTTTTTTAAATTTTTTTTTTTTTTTTCCAATAATTTTTTTTTTTTCCAAAAAAGAAAAAAAAAAAAAAAAAAAAAAAAAAAAAAAAATCAAACGCAATGGATAACAAAAATCTGAAGAAAAAAAAAATAGCAAAACTGGTCTAGCCACTTTGATGATACACACATAGCAACATTAATACAACGAATTTCAAATGTTTTCTTTATCAACAAGTTTCAAATGAAAGATTCTTATGATGAAAATATGATTACTGAAAAACAAAATGAAAAAAAATGAAAAATTTCCAACGGCAAATTACAAAATTGAAGGGATTTTCTTGTTTCCAAGGTAAACATCATAACATCAATTCAACAAACGAAAAACACACACACACACACACACATTTACTTGATGCAATTTGAAAAAAAATAAAATAAAAAATTCATTTTTTTTACAAAAACAAACCAATGAAGTAATGAATTTATTTGAAAAATGTTTTTTTTTAATCGATAACCAAGAGGTATTATGTTAATTTTTTTTTTGTTTGTGAATCTTTTCTTCATTCAATTAGATTCGAAATGAATTATGAATTACAAATCAAAACCTATAGAACTATTTTGTGTATGAATTACAAAAAAAAGACAATGTAATGCTTAAATGATTGTTGTTGTTGTTGTTATTGTTTATAAATGATTTTTTTAAACCAATAAAAATAATTTGAAGATAACGTTTATATGGTATAGTGATGGAGTGGGCAAATCTAATTATTATTTTCATTTGTCTTCGACTATATAAAAAAATAATAAAAAATTAAATTAGAAATCTATTTTTTTTCAAAATTAAAAAGAAACTTACAATAGGTAGACACGTCAATATCGGCAGGCATTTCTGGAATTGAAACATCAAAACGATCTTGAACACTATTCAACACTTTTGCATCACTTTCATCGCTTACAAACGTGATAGCTAAACCTTTCGTTCCAAAACGACCGGCACGAGCAACACGATGTAGATAAGTGTCACTATCTTCGGGCATATCGTAATTGAATACGATATTAACACGTTCAATATCCATACCACGACCAAATAGATTAGTAGCGACCAATATACGTTTCTGGAAATCTTTAAATTGTTGATAACGTGATAATCGTTCCTCTTGAGTCATAGCACGATGAATAGCAATAGCTGGGAAATTTTGTTCGACCAATAAAGTTGCCAAAGCAACACACCGTTGTACACTTTTAACGAAAATGACCACCTAAAAAATTTAAGAAAAACAAATGTTTGAAATACCAGAAATGGTTAGCGAATGAAATTAATGTTTAAAATTCAAAACTAAATCAATCTAACAAAACAAAACTTGATTTCCGAACACTTTAGCACTCATGAATGATTAATTTACAATAACACAAGTGACTCTAAGCTTCGGGCGTTTAAAAAAAACAATCATAAATTGATAAACATACCTGATTAAATTCTAAATCATCAAGTATTTGAAACAATTTTCGATTCTTTTCCGAATCTTTAAGTTTGACGTAATATTGTTGTAGGCCATGTAATGTGAGTTTTGTTTCATCCACGTATACTTCCATTGGCTACAGAAAAAAAATCCGAAGAACAAGTAGAATGTAGAGAAAAAATGTTGATTAGTACCATAAAATATTAGAAATAAAATTAAAATGGATACTGTAGCGATAATGCTGTTTCTGCCATAATCTTCTTGTTTTTTCATCATCATCATCATCTATTATACATGATAATCTTCGATGAATTCGACCATCGATCAATTTTTTTAAAATGGAATAAAATTCATAAATCGACATCGGTAGCAGCAACATAGCGGCAACAGTTGCATCGTAAATTTAAACAAAAATTCAATCTCCAATCCATGGATTTCAAAAAAATTCAAGGGACTGCGATAATATCGGCACATTTGACGGCATCGAAAAAAATAAACATCAAATCAACATAAAGATTGAATGATTTGTAAATAATGTGTTACAATCGAGCCGTAACAATATGCAATCACGGAATTGTCGCTTTGTAATTAGATAATAATTGAAATCAATTCATTTGATTTGGTTCGCCATATTTTTCATGATGTGTGAGCGTTGAAATAATTCAAAATTGAGATTCAATCGATTATGAGTGATAAAACCCTAGCACTTTTTTTTCTTGTTGAAATCAAAAAAACGTTGATGGCTAATCTTCTACATATATTTTGTTTAAGTAGTTTCACTTTCTTTTGTATTCCAAAATAAAATAGTTGATTCATCTTTCTTTCATCACTGGGTGATGGCCTTGTCAATTTCTGATATTTTTTTTTGCTTTGTTTTGTTATATTAATGGGAGAGCGGCTAATTTTTGATTGAAATGCGCAAACAAAAAAGCCACATTATTTTAACGGACGAATAATGCTAATTACAAATAACGTGGTCCATTTGAAATCATCGCAATAGATGAGATGAGCGAAAAAAATGAAAAACGAAACGACTTAAACAAATTCGGATGCCAAGAAAAATCTATAGACATTCATTTGGCAGCCTTATTTCATTTGATTAAGGTTGCGTTCAGGATCATCGAGAATTTTGTCGATTTGTTGTTTCACGAAATTCAACAACAACCAACAGGCAGTAACGTATTAAATCGCTTCGGAATGTATGGTTCAATGCTTACATCTTGCATAAATTTTTTGCAGACTGGTCGAATATCCTTTGACAATGTAGCACTAAACATCATGACTTGTTTTTCATGAGGAGTAGCTTTGAATATTTCTTGAACATCTCGTCGCATGTCTAAAATAGAAAGATAAAATTTGAAATAAAATTATGAAAAATTATAATTTCAATTTTTCAATTAAAAAACTTACCAAGCTGTTCAAGCATTTTATCGCATTCATCAAGAATGAAATGTTTGATATTTTTCAGGTTCAGTTTTTTGTTACGAATCAGTGCCAAAATTCGACCCGGAGTACCAACAACGATATGTGGTGGATTCATTCGAAGAACTTTTTCATCATTGGTAATGGTGAGACCGCCGAAGAAAACTGCCACACGTATGCTAGGCATATATTTGGAGAAACGTTCATATTCTTTGGAGATTTGAAATGCTAATTCACGTGTATGACACATGACTAATACGGAAATTTGTCCATCAACTGGATCCAATTGTTGTAATGTGGCCAAAACGAAAACGGCCGTTTTACCCATACCGGATTTAGCTTGACAAAGAATGTCCATACCCAGGATAGCTTGTGGAATACATTCATGTTGAACCTCACTGAAAATTGAAATAATTATTTAATAATCAAGTAATCAATAAGTAATGATATAAACATACCTAGGATGTTCAAAACCACAATCAACAATAGCACGTAATAATTCGGGTTTCAATAAGAAATCACGAAAACCACTCGAATGGATGGAAACATAGCCAGCTTTTTTTGTATCGTTCACGGTACCATTATTATTTGCCTGATTATTGGAAAGATCACCACCAATTGGTGCCTGTTCTTCATCTTCCTCATAATCTAACAAATCATTATCATTATCGGCCATTATTCTGAAATTTGATGATTGATTAATCAAACTAAACTATAGACAAATTTTAAGGATTGAAAAAAAAGATTAAAATGTAGATCTAGATGGAAATATTTTTGATATCGTTGAATACGAAAAAAATTAAAAATTTTCGATTTTAACAAAACCGGTGTGGTCCGTGAAATGATGAACAAAAGTGAGAATAAAAGCCAAAATGGTGGAATAACACAATACAATCGTAATTGAGCACTGATTACATGCTTTCTAATAGTAGTAGTCACAATTGTTCGATTGTTCAATATTTCTTTTCGTTTGTAACGCTTAATTTGATTACTATGTCAAATTGTACACAAGTGATTTCAATACTTCTACCCTGAAACGTATTTTCATTGTGACCGATTTTTATATTAGCTATTTCGAACTAATTAAACCCATAAAGTTTAAATAGTTTTTTTTTAATATTTCAAGATTTTTTCGCATTTATCCAATCGGTAATCATTCGAATTTTTTTCTGGTTTTAAATTACAATTTATTAAATTTTAAAATTTTGAAAATTGTTTAATAAAAATTATTGTTTAATTTTATAGATTTTCCATTGGTTGTCATTGATACAAAATGTTATCTTTAATAAAAAATTCATCAATGTTACGATGTCCTTCAATTTTGGCTCGAACATTGAATGTACTCTCAACACAACAACAATGTACAAAGGTTACTTTACCGGATCTTCCATACGATTATAATGCTTTGGAACCAGTGATTTCAACTGAAATCATGCAACTACATCACAGTAAACATCATCAAGCTTATGTTAACAATTTGAATGTTGCATTAGAAAAAATGGAAGAAGCTAAATCAAAAAATGATGTTAAAACAATAATTGAATTGGAACCGGCATTACGATTTAATGGTGGTGGCCATATTAATCATTCAATTTTTTGGCATAATTTAGCACCAGTAGGAAAATCTGGTGAACCAAAAGGTGAACTATTACAAGCGATCAATTCATGTTTCGGATCTTTAGATGATATGAAAGCTCGCGTTAGTCAATTGGCAATCGGTGTTCAAGGTTCCGGTTGGGCATGGCTTGGTCGTTGTCCGAAAAGTGGCCAACTTCGTGCTGTTGCCTGTCCTAATCAAGATCCATTAGAGGCCACAACAGGATTGGTACCCTTATTTGGCATTGATGTATGGGAACATGCCTATTATTTGCAATATAAAAATGTTCGACCAGATTATGTTAATGCCATTTGGAAAGTAGCCAATTGGAATGATATTGAACAACGCTTTATGGCTGCAAAGCCAAAATAAATGAATTTATTTTTAATGTTTAAACTTTTAGTTTTCAGCGATACAATAGTAATAAATAATCATTTTACATATTATCATTCTTAGTCAAAAATAATGGATTTGATAGACGAAATACCGTTGGAAAAATGGACGACAAAGCTGTGAAAAGTTCTTGTGAAATTCCTTTTGGTACTACAAACTGGATAGTTTTATTTTCACTATCACTAATTGATAGTAATGATGACATTTCAATCATGAATCCTTTCACACATTTCAATATTAATTCAGCACGTTTTAGACACCATTGAATTGTTATATCTTCATACATTTGATCCAATAACAATAACGGAAGATAAATGTTGGAAATGTCATAGATGTAGGCAATTTTTAAAATGTTACGTAAACCAAGAATAACAGGATGACGAGAATTGATTTCGGAATGACGTATCGTATCATCGGTAACAATATGAAAAACTACATGTGCTTCTGAAAGATTCGAATGACGAGTGATATAAACATCACCCGCTTTTAGACGATAATTTTGTCCATTTTTTTGATTATGTTCATTTACCGGTTTTAAACGATTTAATTCTGCTTTTATCAAGTCGAATTGAAAATCCAATCCGGGAAAATGATTCTCCGAACTGTTCATAATCATTTTAGCAAAATCAGATTTAGTCGTTGCAGAACTTGTCAATGATTCATCAGCCAACAAAACAACTGCGGATAATGAATTTGAATATAGTGACATAGCAGTCTGAATTCGATGTGCTGTCAAAACATTACTGCAAAATTTAAGCATATTGGCTGCGATTAATCGCAAATTATGTGTTGTTTTTAGTTGTGATCCAAGATTAATTGTATAGCTTTCTTGCATTTCAAATTCATCGGAAATATCAACAAAATCTGAGAAAGAATTTTCTTTATCTTCATTCGAAATATTAGGTGGAGAATCATGTTTCAGATCAAGTGGATTCGTCTTGGCATTTGCTATTGCTTGTGAACTGGAATCTTTCATTAGATCTTCGTAAATATTTTTGATCCAAGTATAAAATTCTCTTTTTTGATTAGAACGAATATTGCAAATTTTCTCCAACCATTCGTTTCGAATTTTTTGGGCCAATGCAACATTTTCCTTTGTCAGTGTGTTGATTTCTTTTTCGCTGTATTTACCGCTGAGAAGAATATCTTCAATTTTTTTACTTTGATCTTCGGATAAACCTCGAAGAAATTCCTCTTTTTGATTTATGAAAGATCTGATCACTTCAGAATTATGATTTTCCAATTGAATAAGCTGTTGTGTTAATTTACCAGAATGAATAATCTTATGATACATTGAATAAAAATTTTCATCTGAAATATTATCTTTTGATTTTTGTAGATTTTGATTGTGTAATTTTGCATCAGGTAATGTTGGACAGATTTTTAGTTTTTCAATAAATTGCTGCGATTTACTGGCAAGTTTTTGACGATTTTTGAGTACATGTTCAATACGATTACATTGAATCTTATCAATATGTTCATCAATGAATGATTGCAATTTTTCCATAAGATCATCTTCAAAATATTCGGGAATATGATATTGTTTCATTAAAAGGAATCCATATTCACGTGGAGTTACATTCGTATCCAATGGAAGTCGAATTGAATGTTGAAATTGGAATTCTTCGGATGATTGATATATAAAATGAAATTCTTGTGGTAAACAGTTTAGGCTATCCATTATTAACCCCAAGCTTGTGCTTTTGAATAATAGAGTATTAATTTTCCATCACAACCAAAACAATCAAAAAGATTTTGTACTGTTTGCTCTAATGATGGTGCAAAAATTTGATTGACATAAACAAACAAAGCTTCGTTTGTATCTAAGCTCAAGAATTTTTTGATCAATACTTTCAATTGGCCAATCGTAAAATTTGAATCAACTTTGAAATTTTTTTTCTTCAATATCGGCGTATTTCCAGTCGGAATTAATAATAAGGGGACTGTTGTATGAAAAAAATAATTACATTATGAAAAATCCGCCCATACTTTACCTTTATTGTCCTTTTCTTTTGGTTGCTCTTGTTGAATTGGTTCTTCGGTATTCGTTTTTTGTGACACTTGTTCAATTTGATCTTTATCGTCCATAATTTTTGACCATGATGATAATCGATAAAAATTTGTGAAAGATATTTTTTTTTAGTGATATACATAAAATGTAAATAATAAACAATAAACAAAATGTAAATGAAAAAAACTTTTCGATAAACAGTAAACTATATGATATTTATAAGGAAATTTCTGGGTAATTTGAAAAATTTTGAAAATGATTCATTTTTCCATGATGATTTATTCCATTGATGATGATTGTGATGAAAACTTAAGAGCTTGAAATTGATTTCTAGTTTGGAATAACTTTCGCAAAGTATTAGATCGATTACTTTGATTATTACTGTCGTAATTATCATCACCATTGTCGTATTTGTCAATGGTTTCAAGTGCTGTCTTCATTCTCATTAATTTTTGTTGAATGATATGTGTTTTAATTGCAAGTGTTTTGAACATTACTTCTAAATTATTACGAGCCATCTGAACAGATTGTTCCAAACATTCTAAACGTTTCAAAGGATCATTGAATGCTTCCGTCAATTGATGATTATCAATAAATAATTCTTTACATTCTGATTCGACCATCAAATTATTGATTTTCTCGGGTTGTAAATAATTTTGCTCTTGCAAATTTGAATTACAATCATTCATATTTTTACCTTTCATCATGAAATACTTTTGACAGTAAACTGGAAGTGATCACCGATTTTCGAACTGATTCGATTTGTCGAACAAAATGTTCGAAATTCAACCAACTATCGAAAAAAACAATCGATTATGTAATGTAAGTAGAATTTTATTCAATGTTTCAAAATAATTCTTGAGAAAGAAAATTATAAGATAAATGAAAAAGAAAAACGATTAAAAAAATCATAAAGATAATGTCATAATAAATAAAATGTTTAAGATGTTCTTATAGTATTAAATCAAAAAAAAAAAAGATGTATCGAATCGGCTTGCATAATATGATTGATTCAATATTCTTCATCGGATGAATGATCATAATTATAGTTGACTGGTTGTCGTATACGGCCAGTTTTTGTTAGAAATTCTGGTGGAATTTCATTATTAAATGATTCATCGATTTCTATTATTTTTTTCTTTTTGGTTTTCTGCAAATGAAAAAAAATGAATTATAATGAAGTTTTTAGTATCAGAATTTTTTTAATTATAACAAACCTTTTTTGATGTTTTGAAATCATCATCATCATCATCATCATCAAAATTATCCGATTCAGAATCTGAAATTCGTTTCTTCTTTTTTGATTTAGCTGCTGTTTTTTTAGGTGCCGTTGATTTATTTCCACCCGTAATAGCTGCTTTTTTTGTTTTAGTTTTCTTTGGTGCAGCTGATAAAATAAAATCCGAACTATCCGAATCATCTTTCTTGTCATGATTATCTTCATCGATTGGTAATTTTTCTTTCTTTGTTGTTTTCTTAACTGTTTTTGTTGTTTTTAATGTTTCCACCGTTGTTACTGCATTGACAAAATCATCTCGTTTATCATTTTGAAAAATATCATCATCATCATCATCATCAAAAAGTCTATCATTTTTATCATTCGATTCTATTATGGTAGACTTTATAGTTCCATTTGTTGATTTAGATGGTTCAGGTGTAGATGTTGATGATGCGAAAGATGATGTAAATATCGAATCAAATAATTCTTCACTTGTTTTTTTCTGTTCCTGTTGTATAACTGGTGTAAGTAATTCATCTTCTTCTTCACTATCGGCAAATGTTTTCGGTGGTCGAGTGGAAATTGGTTGAGTTGAAGCTATAGTTGGCTTTACTATATCATTACTGATTTTTGTCGTCATTTCTGGTTTAGATTTCTTTGGTTTTGGCTGTTGAACATTCAAATCAAAATCATCATCATCATCATCGAAATCTAATTCTATATCATTATTATCATCATCATCAGAAAGATCATCATCTGACCATGGATTTCGACCTTTCTTTTTATTTGATTTTGTTTTCGATTTTGTTGATGGTTTTGATGCATCACCATTTTCTTTTGATTTTTTATTATTAGATGATTTTTTTGATTTTGGCAATATAATTGGTGGATCATTTTCATCTTTACATTGTTTAGTTATTAATGATTTTTTCTTATCAACTAATTCAGGTGATACACCAATACGTTGTGCTAATGGAATGTATTCATCTTCACTTTCCGAATCAATAACCATAATATTGTTTGTTGTTGTAGCAATTTCATTAACATTATCTATCGGTTTATCTTGGTTAGATAATTTTTCAACATTATTGGCTATATTATTCTTTTTATTCATTATTAAATTTGTTTTTCGTAACAAATCTGTATCAATTTTGGGCACTATACGTTCACCATCCGGTGATGGTTTATAATCATTTAAAGCATTATTATAGATTTGTTTTTTGATTGGACGTGATGATACTTTTGAAGAATTTTTCATTTTCATTTTTAAACTATTACCCGATTCCATTTGTTCACGTTCAAATTGTTCAACACGATCTAATTCATCAATAAATTGTCGTAAATCTTCTTCCCAAAGATCTTCCGGTGTTGATAATCGTAGTTTTTCTAATTCTTGTTTCTTTTGATCACGTTGTTTTAATAATTCTTCAACTTTTTCACGTAACATACTACGCATACTCATATCGATAAGATAATCAAAATTATATCGTTTATCTGAATATTCAGCACCATCATCATCCGATTCTTCATCAGAATCTTCTTCTTTATCGGCATTCTTTTTCTTCCATGCTTTCACAGGATCCGAATCATAATTTCGTTTGACAAGTGTAGCAATGAAATCTTTCTTTTTAATATTTTCCATCACTAAAACACGATCATTTTTTTCCAAAATGAATCTAGCTTGATTTTCAAGTTTTAATGCTTCAGCTTCTAAAATACCTTCATAATAAGCTTTACGTTTAGCATAGTATTCAAGACGAACAGGGAAGAATTCTTGTAAAATTTCTTCAGGTGTTTCGTATTTTTTCAAACAACCAAGATGATCAAATAATACCATGGTTGTTGTCGACATTGATGTTTGAATTTTGAATGTTTTATGTAGTCCGCTATTTAATGCTTTCTGTAGATTTTCCTCTGATAATGTAACAACAAACTTAACAGTTGCATCTGTATGATATTCTTTATAATCCTGTATGAATGGTGGTGTTTTTTCTGTACCATTCAACATTGGTTCTAATACTGTTTCTTTATATGTTTGTGTCCATACACGAATCGGTAGTTCCGTAATTTCAAATGATCGGCCATTTTCCAATATAGCTGCCTCGCCGTTTATCACAAATCGTTGTGTATCAATCTGTTCGATTGTGCCAGTAAATCCTTTGAACCATGGTTTCATTGGTCGAATTTCTCGTCCATGCATTAAACGTTTAATATTTTCAACAATTTCCCTTGGATTATAATTGGGAATTTTTGTACTCCAACCAGTACCAATACCTTCGGCTCCATTGACCAAAACCATTGGAATAATTGGAACATAATATTCTGGTTCAATTTTTAGATTATCATCATAAAGATAATTCAATAATGGATCATCTAATTGTGGAAATAATTTCCTTGCTACAGTATTAAGCATGGTGAATATATAACGAGGACTGGCAGCATCTTTGCCACCTTGAAGTCGTGTACCGAATTGACCAATCGGTAACAATAAGTTAATATTGTTACTTCCGACAAAATTTTGTGCCAAATTTATGATTGTCGACATAAGTGATACTTCACCATGATGATAAGCACTATGTTCGCCGACCGAACCGGCTAATTGAGCCACTTTAACTTCACGTTTATCATTACGTTTGAAACAAGTAAATAACACTTTACGTTGGCCAGGTTTCAATCCATCCACCAACGAAGGAATAGAACGTTCATTATCCATATTACTGAATAGGATTAATTCTTTGTTGACAAAATCTTTATATGTTATGTTTCGAGTATTCTTTTCATATAGGTACATTTCAGGTAATCCTAATTCTCGTCGACGTTTTCGTTCCTCTAATGAATTTGTAAGCCATTCTTTACGTTGTTCAACCATTTTCTTACTAAAAGCTAATTGAACAAAATGATCATCATCATGACCAGCATAATGAAATTTTATACGATTTCTATCCATATCAGTGAAATATTCTTTTGCTTCAGCTGAAGTTGAAGTACCCAAACCTAGATGTGAAGAAAAATTTATTTATTTTTAGATTATATTAGTTTTCGATAATGAATCATTACCTTTGTAGTACTTTATTTTGTAATTACGCCAATTTGGATTTGATTTTTTCCATTCTTCGAATTCTGGTAAACTATAAAATGAATGAACTTCATTACCTTTGGATGCTTTTACAATTGGTGTGATGAACTGTTCTAAAAAGTTCAATTTCAACAATGATGGCCAATTATGATGAATAAAATTGATCAACAATCCTTTAATGTGTGAACCATCTTGATCCTGATCGGTCATTATCATTAATTTGCCATAACGAAGTGTTTTGAGATCATCGATTGTTTGATATTGTTTTTTGTATTGAAGACCAAGAATTTTGATAATGTTATTGATTTCTGCATTCTCTACAATCTGTTTATGTGATGCTTCACGTACATTGAGCATTTTACCTCGAAGTGGAAATACTCCAAATTTATCACGACCAACTACACCTAATCCAGCAACAACAAGAGATTTGGCAGAATCACCTTCAGTTAGAATTAGTGTACAATCGATTGAGTTTTTAGTTCCAGCATCGTTTGCATCCTCCAGTTTAGGGATACCAGTAAGCTTTGCATGTTTTTTTGCATGACATTTTTTTGATAGCTCATTTTGAGCTTTGAATTTGGCCCATGATAAAACTGCTTCAACAATACCGACTTTGAAAACATTATTAAAAAATTTATCAGTTGGTGAACAGGTTGATCCAAAACTTTTCACTTGTAATGTCATAGTTTCTTTGGTTTGTGAATCGAATGTAGGATTTTCAATTAAACAATTGACAAATACCCAAAGATGATTACGAATTTGGAATGGTTTTACAGTGACGCCAACCTTATTTTTCTTTTTAATAACATCGGTCACTTTATTAACAATTTGATCGGAAACATGATCAACATGTTTACCACCACGTGTTGTTGCAATACTATTGACAAAACTGATTTGTTGAAATCCTCGATCACTAACAGTAGCTGCTATCTCCCATCGATCGTTAACAACTTCATGGACAACTTTAATAGTATTACCAATATCATCTTGTCGATCTTTAGCAAAAAGTTCTACATATTCTTTAAAACCACTGATTGGTAATTTTTTTCCATTAAGATATACTTTTACACCACGTGTTGTACCGGCAACATCATATGCACGTCTTGAAAATAATGAAACAATATCCTTATCAAGAAAATCCATTTTAAATTTAGATAAATCCGGTTGAAATGTAATACGTGTAAAATCTTCGGATGCATTTGTACCAATTTTCGGTTCTTTAGTATCTTTCATATTATCATTCCAAATTTGTAAAAATGATTTATGATATTCTTTGCATGAAGTTTCTACTTTAAATTTTTTACTAAAAATATTACATAATTTGGCGCCAAAACCATTACGACCACCGACAACTTTTTTTTCTTCATCATTATAATTGGATGATGTTAATAGATGACCAAATATTAATGTTGGTACATAACATTTTTCTGTTTTATGTTCAATAACAGGAATTCCTTTACCATTATTATAAATGATTATTTCGTTGTTATCGCTACCATTTAACAAACAAACAAAATCAACGATTGATTTTTTATCATTATAATAAAAAAAATCAGATAAAAAAACTTACGCATCAATATCGATTCGTATACAATTCATTGATTTATCTCTTTGTTTATTATCAGCAGCATTTACAAGTATTTCATCAAATATTTTATACAATCCCGGTACATAGGTAATTTCACGAAATACCATTTTATCTTCATCTTTATCCCATACCCACATTTGCTAAAGAGAATTTTGTCAGGAACAAAAAAATTTATTTATTAAAATTTTTCAACCATTTGATTTTGAAAATTATTACAAACCTTTGTTTCTTTTTCAACTGAACCAATATATGTATCCGGTCTTAATAGAATATGTTCTAATTGTGTTTTTTTCTGATAGATACGTTCAATACTTGGACGTTTCTTTTGTTTACCATTTTGTTGCTGTTGTTTTGGTTTTTTATTACCATTTGTAGGTTTAGCTTTAGGACCACCAAAAGTTTCATCATCAAAATCAGATTCATTATCAATGAAATCTGATTCATCCGACATTGATGACATTTTTGTTGTTGTTGTTGTTGTTACACAATACAACAAAAAGAATCAATAAACAATAGATTTGATGTTTATTTTTTTTTCGTTTTGTTTTGGTAGAGTATAAGATGATAATAATGATAATAGAAACCGATCACAAAATGGTAGCTATAGTCAATGTTCGGTCGGTCAATCGGCCAATTCGTTGAATAATTTTTTTTCCTTTATTCATATCATCGTTTCTATTCGGACAACAACTTTTATGTTTGTGTGAATAAGAACAAGAACGAGTTGTTCGTCCATGTGTGTGTGTGTGTATTCAGATCCGTCATTACGGCGACGATTATAGCAACATACAGACGGTTATGTTTGAATTGAGACTTTAACACTTGTACACGCATAACGAAACAAAAGCTTCAATGGATCACCATCACCATCATCAAATATATATATTCTTTGAGCGCGCGCTTCCACAATATACAATAATGTGTATATTGTCTCAGTGAGTATATACTGTCTTGAATTGTTCATCAACTACGAACCGGCTTTGTCAAAAAAAATTGAATACACAAACTATTCATATTGGAATCCGTCTAAAAAAATAGTATCTGATTATCTTTAAAAATCAAAAATAATTCATTATTTTAAATGTATTGGTCATTTTGAAAAAATGGAAATGTTAGCCAATGAATATGAACGGTAGAAATACTGTAAAAAATCATGGAAATTTTATTCGAATAATGCAAAAAAAAATTTGATTCATTTCATTCGCTGAATCCAATACAGGAATAACTCGGTTTTCTTTCAACAGCAAAAAATAAATTCAAAAAAAATTCGTCCTATCTGAATAGATCCAAAATTGAATCCTGGGTTATTGGCTTTTTGCATCAAATACGTTTGTTGTTGTTGTTGTTGTTGTTGGATCAGATTTTCTTTCTGCCAATTTGAAACTCAGCAGAAGCAGAAAAAAAATTGAAAAAAAAGTATAAATAAAACAAATTGAGAGAAAGTCTTGTTTTGGGAAATTTTTTGTTTTTCAAATGTTTACGAGAAAAAAAAATGAAGAAGAAATATTTCGTCGCAAAACAACAACAACAACAATAAGTTTTTAATCTTGAAATTTAAAAAAAGAGAAATTTGTTATGAAAATGATTGAATAAAGAAGAAAGAAAAAAAAACGGATGATGAAAATTTTTTCATCCCTATGAAATCTAAAAACAAAAAAATTATCATCAAATTCTTACGACAGTCAATTTATCTCTCTTTTTTTTAAATAAATGATTGTTTTTTTGTTTGTTTTCTCCCTTCATTTGATTGTGTTCCTCGTGGGCTGTTTTTTGATTTATTATTATCAATCGATACATAGATTTTTGTTGTTGTTGTTATTGTTATTGACCAATCGATTTCGAAATATTGTCAAAAAAATTTTTATGCCCCTTTTTTTTCTTTGTAATTCAAAGAATTAAAAAGTATAAATAAAAACAATGCTGTAAATGTTTTTGACGGTAATTTTGTCACCCAATTTATTTTTTTTTTGTTTTTGTTATGCTCATCAATGAACATTTGATGGATATATTCGTTACTAATTGTAATTTTTTTTTCTTTATTATCTTTTAATTAGCAGCAAGATTTACCAACATCATTTGTATACGAATTTTGGCAAAAAAAAATCAACAACACGTTAATTATGTTACACAATAATCAAATAATTTCGATTGAAGAAATTCTAGTCAAACCATCACAAAATTGTCATGAACGTCCATTAAGACAATTTATTTTATTTAATCGTAATTCTGATCTAAAAATTTGTATCTATACACTTGGTGCAACAGTCATGTCATGTATGCTCAATGAACATCAAATTATAGTTGGTGGTAATAATAACAACAACAATAATAATAATAACGGCGATAATAATAATATTGGTGATAATAATAATATTGATGGCAATGGTAGTAATGATTTATATCATAATAATAATAATAATGATAATAATCATCATCATACAACAAGCAATAATTTAGAACAATCAGATGATGATAATCGTATAACAACAACAATGTTAACAACAACAACAATGAATGATATACGAATGATAATCGATCGTAATATTAATAATAATATTCAAAATTATAATGAACCAATACAAAATATTTGCTGGGATTCACATGTATTTGGTTCAGATACTTTATTATTAAATCATCGTATTGATTCAATGTTATTTGGTCCTAAACAAACAATAACATATTGTTTAAATAAAAATAATGAATTCATTATTGAAGGTAGTGATATTAGACATATACAAAATATTCGATCATTATTGATTAATCCATTCTTTTTCAATCTGGTAAGTACATTTTCATCAATTTTATTTATTTTATTTATTAACGATAAATTCTTTTTTTTTCATTTCATTATTAGAATTCTGTTGAAAATGATTTATGTTTAGATGAACATTATCTACATATACGTACATCACATGAATCGATTAATGTTTTCAGTGAACAAACAAATAATAATGATTCCAACAATGTTATTAGTAATAATAATAATGATAATGGTGGTGATGATGATAATAATCTACAATTATCCGAACGTTTTCTTCATCCAACACGTCCAACAACAATATCACAATGTTTTGATGGTTCAGATTTTATTTACAGTACAAATCCATCAACAATACCTGGTTCATTATTAATTGCAACATTACAATATAAAAATCGTATTATTGAAATATTATTAGAAATTGATACAAAATATAAATCAAGTTTAAGGATATTGATAAAAAATGGTTCAATTGCATTTATACCGCATGAAATGAATAAATTTAAAGTTACATATAGATTTCATTGGTGAACCGAATTAGAAGAAGAAAGACAACAACAACAACAACAATAAACAGTATTCATCAAATATTTACTGATGACAATATACGGACCGAAATGAAATGTATCAATGACATCTGACATCAGACAAAATTATATGTTAATAATTAGGGAATCTACAAAACTCTGTTTTTTTTTTCACTCTCACTTTCTCGTTTTGTTTTATATTCTATCTATCATAATTTGATGCAATTATTCTTTTGAAAAAAATGAAACATGTTCAACAATTTTTTTTAATATTTATATTTTATTTGTGAATCAGCAACAGAAAAAACAAAAATAATTCCAATTTATACCTGCAAATTGTTATTTATCCTTTATAATACCTTAAATTCTTTTCTATGTATTTTTTTTTCTTCTTCATGAAACAAAACTGATAATACAAAACAAACACAAAACAAAAACTTTAAATTCTTTATGTATCATTTGATGATCATTTCAGCTGTCAATGCATTCAATTTTTTCTTTTTCTTTTTTCTTTCTTTCAAATGTGATAAATAATTTTTGTTTTCTTCAAAATATTTAAATTTGACGATAATGGCAAAAAAAATTGTGAAAAAAAATCAATCAAACATCAACAACAACGAATGAATTTCATTATTTCAGCACTTTTTTGTCAGGCAAAACAAAACAAAAATTTCCATGAATACACGTATCACTTCAAAATATTCAAATCAATATTGCACCCACACACACACACACAGATACGAATTGACTGACTTTTTTCAAATTAGTTAAAAATTTAAAATGTTTTTTTTTCTCCTAAAAAGCTTCCATTTTTTTTTTGCTAAAAAGAAAATTCTTTAAAAACTTTTTGTTTTCCCATTCTGTATTTGTTTTTATTTGCTTCATTGAATTTTATTGTTTTTTCTCTTTCCCGAATTTATCTCAAACAGAATATTCTAACAGTGTTTTTTCGTTTACCCAACAAATCGATTTGCAAAAAAAAAAGAAAATCAAACATTTTTTCTTTCATTTTCTCATTATTTCATTATTCCTTCTTCCCAAAATTAATTTCATATCTTGTCTTGTTTTGTTTTGTTTCGTTTCGTTTCTATTAATTTATCGTTTAACCGTGTTAATTATGTTTTTTTTTTCAAAAATTTTTTTTTACTGGCCGACAATCAAAACAAAACAAACAACAAAACAAGAAGAATATCTAATTGGATTTAGGATGTCGATGTGGAAAATTATTCTTGAAATTCTTGCAATACAAAATGGCTGTTAGCAACCCTTTCGCCGTTATCTTTTTTCCCATTGACTTTTTTTTTCTATCAGACAAATTTTTTCCCCTTCGCTGTATACTTAAAAAAATGAAAATTTAACCCCGATCCAACAAAAATCCAATGTAATGCCATCCACATGCACGTATACACAAAAATAAAACAAATTCAAATGAGCATGACAAAGGCAAATGTCACCCAAATAAAAATAAAAATTGTTATAAACAAAACAAAAATAAAATAAAATAAAATAAACCCAAACTAAGCTTAGTTAAGCTGAAAACTGAAAATATTTGAAAATGATGTGAATGAATGATGTAAATTGAAATAAAATTAAGTAAATGTTGATGTTTTCCAAAAAAACAAAAAAACAAAACAAAACAAAAATTCTATTATCAAATTTTTTTTTTTGTTTCCATATTTATCCTGTTCATTTTTGTTTAAAATTTGAAAAAAATTTCGTTTTTTTTTCGTTTTGTTTAATTTTGTTTTGGGGGGTATTTTTTTCATTTCAAAAACAAAATGTTAAAAATAAAATGATTGAATGAAAAACCTAAAATCAAACAGAATTTTTTCGATGTTGTTGAATGAATAAAATGTAATAGTCAAATGCAAGAAGAAGAAGAATGAAAAAACATTGCCAGAAAATTTTTCATTTCCATTCAAATTCATTATGATGATGGATTTTTTTTTTGTTGTTTTGCTTCGTTTTTTTTTCCAATGGTTGGCTCAATTGTATTAGTGATCTTTTTTTCTTTATTTTTGGCCTTTTTTCATTTGAATCACGCAAAAAAAACACATAGAGAATTTTTTTTTCTCATGGAACAAAATGAATGAACAATAAGAATGTTGTGAAAGAGAGTGAGAGAGAAACATCCGATTAGAAGATGCAAGAAAATGATGATGTTGATGGTAAAATGATTATATTTCTAATGTTGGCCACGAATATATCACATGAATGAATGATCTCTATTCAATTTGACCTATTATATTTATATAGCTTGAGGATAATATTGATGTTGACTGTGAAAAACCAACAGAAGAAGAAGAAGAAAAAAAAACGAAATTTCAGTTGCAGGAAAAAGAATCTGTACATAAGATTTTTTTTTTGCTTATAGAAAGAATCAATGAATGTAAAGAGAAAAATGAAATTTTTAATAATTTATTTTCCATTTTTTGATGAAAAATCATATTAACACTGTGGATGGATGATGAAGATGATAATGAAAAAAAACAAACATTTATTGTTTTTATTTATTATTATTTTGGCAGGAAATTGGCAACAAAATCATTATATGATGATGATAATGATGATGAGTAAAAATAAGGGAGTTAATTATTCTTTTTTTTTGGGTTAATTATTCATATAATTTTCTTTCTTTTTTTCTGTTTGTTTAAAATTAAATTTTTCTGCTTGTTTTAAAACTTTTAAATTATATATCACAATTGAATGGATTTTTGCCATTTTTTTTACAATGCAAATGAACCATATATGCATGCATAGGTGTTAATTAATTAATTAATTATGAATATGATTTGTGCGAATAAGATTTATTCATTGTTGATGTTGTTGTTGTTTGTTGAGATGGTGTTGGTGTTATACTTGGTGTTATACATGTTGTATTATTAACATTATGATGATGATCATTAATATCGCAACGATGATGTGAATGATGATGATGTTGATGATAATGATATTGTTGTTGTTGTTGTTGTTGATGATGGTGATGATCATTGTTGTTGTTGTTGTTATTAGTGTTACTATTACTACTGTTGTTTCCACTAGTTTGACATCCAGGTCCAGTTCCAGAAATATTTTTTGAAACACTGACCATACACTGGCCACCACCACCACCACCACAACCAATTGATGGTCCATCTGGCATACAAGATGTATTACCATCAATCGATGCTGTTGATTCTTCTGGTGTTTTAGATATTTCGGTTACTTCTTGATCATGTTTATGTTTATGATGGAATGGTTGTAATGAAAAACGACGATGTGATTTACGACCACCACGACGTTTACTAATATGTGGATTATCTTTTCGTATTGATTTATTTTTTAATACCTGAAGTTGTGTATAAACTCTTCGTAATTCGGCCTACGATTCAAATTCAAATAAAGTGGATAAAGAGATGCAAAAAACAATCACATTAATCTCAATATCAATTTAGCACAGCATGGTATTGTTTTTTTTCTGGAATGAACAAATAAGAAAAACAAAACACTTACACGAATATCTTCAGGGTCCATATCGGAAAGGTTAATTTCACCAATATCAATTTCACCATTTGATAATATAGCTGAATGTAATGAATCGGGCATCATATCCGATACTTCAGCCGATGATAAATAACGAGATCTATGATGTGGATGACGTTTTGGTTTTTTATAGAAAAACTATTATACCGATCAAATACCAAACAAAAAAAACAATAACAAAATCAATCAATATGAATTATGTAAAAAATAAATTATTTAGTAATATTTTTCACTTACTTTAGGCATAAATAACATTATAATTGTTGTTGTAATTGTTACCTGACATCTAATTGCATATAATAATAATAGATGATCTGGATGTAAACTTGGATGTGACCAGAATGCATGTTTAATTACATAGGTAAAAAATGATACAATCGTTTCCAATAGAATTGAAATCGTAAGGGTAAGTTTTTCTTTATAAATTTCTTTTTTAGCATTTCTTATTCGATAGGTAAGATAAACACCACTTAATAGAAATAGTATTTCACCTAAATTTTTTTTAAAACAAATTGAAAATAGATTGAAAATGGGAAAAAAATTATTAGCAATATTGAAACAAGTAATAAAGAGATGGAGAGAGCATGAATCGGGGTTACTTTTCTTTATTAAAAATCTGATTGTTGTTGATGTTTATAAATATAATGATCATCATTAACATTAATAATAAATGAAAATTATTATTATTATCGAAACTATTAATGCTGCGGTTATTATTATTCTTTGTTATAAATAGTTATAAATCGTTGATTGTATAAAAACTTTTTTACAAATTTCTTTTTTCATTTTTAACATCATTCATGAAATATTGGTTTGTTTTGTTTTTCATTACAATTTTTTCAGTTTGTTTGTGGGGGAGTTTTTTCTGCTTCGCTTCGGTCAAGTTTTGTTTGTTTGTTTGTTTTTCGGACAATACATACCTATTTCGGTAACATAATCCCAGGCCAATTTTCGACAAACATAAAATTTTAGTCCATTATTAGCATATTTTTCATCAAGTATATTTCTTGATGTAAAATTAAATGAATTACCAAATAGATTGACACTACGAAAATTTTCAATACCATCAATAAATAATGCTGTCCATGCAGACATATAACCAAATACTATTAATACAATACCGAATAAATATTTTAATAAATCTTTATCCTGTACGCATACACGATGTGCTTTTCTTGTTTGAAATTCAGCATATATTCTATATACTTTAATAACAATTGAACCATAAAAAAATGCAAAACCAATTTCACGAAACCAAGGTTCAAGAAAACAAGTTATTGTACTTGATTCATAATAACGTATTATAATCTATATAATTGATGGTTAAAATGAAAGAAAAGAATGGAAAGAGAAAAATGAAAATAAATAAGAAATTTCATTGGATTAAACAAATAATTTTATTGATTAGTAATGTATTTTGGTGTGATTTTCATTGATCGACAATCGATCGATAGATCGATGATAATCGAATTATCCATATATAAGAATTGAATTCACGAGTAGTAAGTTTCAATGAATAAAGTGTCAATATTAATTATTATCATCATTATTTTATAAATTGATTTTATTGTTATGGATTGTGTGCGAGAATAATTATTTTTAGAAATAATAAAAAAAAAATTTACCGTTAAATATAATAAAATGGCTCCAAGCAATAATGTTTCCAACATTAACCACCGTGAACTGGCAACTCTCTGACAATGACGTTAATGATTTTTTTTTTTAATTTTGTACGAAATAGAAAGAAAATGAATTAATTGAAAATATAATTGAAATGGAAATACACAGGAATTCATTTAATGGATTGGCAAATAAAACATACCTTTGTATAACGAAGACGAAATGTAAGTAAAGAAATTATTATAACAATTATAATACAAAATATTTGTAATATTAATACAATAATACGAAATGTTTGATCAAATTTTATGAAACAAGGTTGATCATCATCACAATCACGACAACCAGGTTCACATGGTAAACAAATAAAACTATGTGGATAAAAATATTGTTGTCGATTTTCAATCGGACCAATGATTGTTTCAATAAATGCTTGTTCAATATCACGACCTTATAATGAAAAATAAGAGGGAAAGAAAAAATGAGATGATTAAAAATGAAAACGAAATTCTGTCAAATTCTATCGCCAGTATCATATATAGACATACACATACGTGCACGTCATCATTCATCAACAAAAACAACAACAACAACAAATCAATTTGTTTCAAAAGAGAGAGACAGAGAGTGAGTGAAAACAAAAAACTAATAAAAAATCAATTTTCATTAAAGAAGAAAAAAGAAGAGGAAAACTAAACAAAAAACAACATACATCCTCGGATTATAGCTATGGAGAGAAAATGGGAAAAAACAACAACAATAATAATAATAATAATATATTTCATATGTATTCTTCAATTCTTTTGCTTTTTTTAAAAAATAATAATAATAATAATTTGTCGTTAGGGGACAATTTATATTTGTTATTAGTGGTGATATAACCATAATACAAACTTGTCATTAAAAAAATTTGACGATGTGAAGAACACAAACAATACAATACATTCTTCTATTCTGGCATTTTCTCCTCTATAAATGAATTGTGTGTGTGTGTGTGTTGAGAAAAATTCTAGGCACGAATATTTTTACTTTTGTGTTCCAGTTGTCATTCATTGCACACACACACACACACAGACATAAATAAAAGTATGGTTTATAAAAATAAAAACCAAAAACTAAAAATTCTCGACCAAGTAGTCCAAAATGGTTGAAAAATAGGTTTCTATTCATTTCAATAATTTTTTTTTTTGTAGTTGTTGTTGTTTGGTAGAAAAAGATGACGAATGAACAATTATGTTCAGAAAACTTTTTTTTTTCTTCCTTGGTTCTGTGTTGCTGAATTTTGAAGATTTTTTTTTTCTTCATTCAACTGATCAGTGAAAAGCAAGTATATTGCCATTGAATTGTTTGGTTGTTTGTTTGTTTATTTTAGTAAATAATAATAACTTACCACTAAAAAAATTAATCAACTGATGATTATTGCTATTATGTTGATAATAATGATGAATTAAACCATTATTACTATTTTGATCAACATCAAACACTGATGTTGATGACATTAATTGTCCGGAAATATTTCTAAATAATGATGATGATGATGATGGAGATGATGCGGATGATGATAATGTTATTGATGATGATAATGATGATGATGTAATACCAAAACTACTTGAATTTGGATAATAATATCCTTGTCGACATTTACATATATAAGATCCGCTACGAAATCCAATACCGGATATTTTCTGGCACTAATATTACCAAAAAAATCAATATTCGATATAAATGATGATGATGATGATGATTGAATTTTATTCAAAAATAATATTCATATTATTTAAATTCAAATTTACACAAACGCACACACAAATGTTTATGACAACAACACAGTGGAAAATACGAAAAGAAAAATCCAAATTTCACACACAATATTCAATGAGGAAGAAGATGAAAATGTTTGTCGGTTTGGAAAATTTTTGTTGTTGTTGTTGTTGTTGTTGTTGATTTTGATCATGAATAAATAATGATGATATCAAGTTTGAATTGAATGAATTTATTTTCATTCGGGAGTTGACGAATGGAGCAAGAGAGAGAGAGAAAGAGAGGAAAAAAAATCAATAGATTGAATCAACATTGTGTAAGGGAAAAAGCTGCAGAACAAAAATCGATAATCACACTTATTTTATTTTTTAACACATAGAAATTAAAATGTAGCAAATAATAATAAACTGAGAAGCGCGGCATCATCAACAACAGTATAAAAAAAATCAACTTGTCCGAATTGCAGTTTTGGGAATTTTTTCTCAATTTCTGAATCGATCATGATTCAATCAAATCAAAATAAATCATGATTTGTTCAAGGGGAAACGAATTTTTTTTTTTTTTTTTTTTGAACAGAAAATAGGAAAGGAATGAAAAAAAAAAAAAAAAAAAAAAAAAAAAAAAAAACAAATTAA